AACATTAAAACAATAAATTACAATCTATATATATATTTCTCTTACACGGCGATAAAAAAAAGCCTCATTACAACTCCCCGAATGGCAACGCTAGAAAATCAACCAATAATTGCAGCTAAAAATATCACATGCGAAATTTAGTTTAGGTGGCTCAACATATAGCGCTTCTAAAAACGGAAACTGAAATAACCAGAGTGTAAAATAGTATGTGCTTATGCGCATCGTATTTTTTGTTAAATAATTTATTTATTATATATCAGTTTATAGATGGTAACGAGAAGAGTTTTATGGTTGCTATGGTGACTAATTAGAATGTAAATTGTTTTTTTGAGTGAGTGTGAGATTTGTTTTTTGGAACTGCGATGCTGTAATTTTATTGTTTAGTTAATAAACCTTCCTTTTATATTAAACGTGATAGTAGTTTCCTTAATTATTTGATTCGAAGTCCTTGGAGTTTTATTTGAGGTCAGTTTATTTTGTATTTTTTGACAAGAGAGAGCATTCTCACCAAACGAGATTTCTTCCGAAATTCAATGTTTTGTTTATGCAGGGTTTTTCCATTGCAATTTCTCTTATTTAAATTTTTAATAGACTTAATTATAGCCAAAATTTTAACCTTTTTAAAGAGATATCAGTTTTAGAAATTTTATCTTAAGATTTTATACTATAGCACATTTCTAATAGGTTTAACGAATTACATGTCATTTATTTGAATTCAAATTTATTTTAATGACTTAGTATTTACCAAAAAGATGCAATTTTTTTTTAAAAACGAGTTTTTATATGGATTTGAATGATTGTTTTGAATTCTTAGAATTTTGTGCATTTGCAATGTAACTAAGTTAGTAGCGAGCGAAGCGAGCTTGGTTTGCGGAGCAAACCATATAACATTGCGTAGCAATTTTCGGGGGTTGGCGAGCGCTAGCGAGCAGGGGGCGCAGCCCACTAGTTTTTATAAATATGACATCATTGTATTACTTGCTTTGAAATTCAGATATTTTTACAGAATATTGGTTTGCATAATTACTAATAACGGTAACGATTGCCATTTCCTTGTCTTGTTATTTCTCAAATTAGGAATAATATTTCAAAGTCAAACTAAATGTGTTGTATGAAAGTTCATTTTGTTTGGCTTATTTTTGGTTTCTGACTTATTATTTAAATTGGTTACAAAGGACAAATTTCGTTTTAGCGCTTTTCTATTTTGGCTTATTTTATAGTTTTATCCTAAAATTTTTATCTTAAAATTTGTTTAAATCAATTTCGTACTGTGATTGGAGAGCATGTTATTTTATTTAAATGCACATCATAGTTTTTAAAACTAGTCATAAACATTTTTAAAATTTTTTTCTTTACATTTAATATTTAATAGTCTTTCATTTTTTTTTAAATGCAGGCTCAAAGCATTAAACTTTGAAAAATTGTTCTTTTGCCCCAATATGTCATTCTATCGGTTGAGTGTACTTGCATTGAAAAGAACAATTGAAATTATATATTTTAAATGAATTTTAATAATTTAGTTTTAGCATGTCATTTTAGCTAATAACCTTATGATATTTAATATTTATTCCTATTGTAATATGCAATGAACTTATTAGTTTTGATTTTTGTATTAATTTAACAACCCAAGGAACAAATATCTAGTTTACTTTTCGTAGTTTGATAAATAAAAAATATTCTAAGATATAATTTTACTGGATACAATGAAACTGAAGAATTTATTTTCAATGCTCATTTGAGTACTGCTGCTTTAACATTCATGGGGGAAAAATTAATTAAATTACTTTTGTGTAAAAATTAATTAATTTAATACACAAAAGTAAAATAAAAAAATTAGATTTAGTCAGTGATTTTTTTTTTTAAATCTAATGTACGGCATATATAACCATTACATAGGGATGCACTTTTTTAAATGAATAAATAAAATTTAATAACCAATCTTTCTACTTAATGACAATGATGGCTTACCAATTGTTTCTTAAAAATATAGTTATTTTTTAAATCTTTGTGATAGGCTAAAATTTTTCTCATGTTGAAATTTAAAAGTTGTTAGAATTAGCACACATAAATTATAAATAAAAAATTTTGGCTTTGCGCTGAAGATAGTGCTTGGTAATTTTATCAAAATTGTTATGTGCCTCTTAAACAATTCTATTTGTGGTTTAAGGTTTCACTGTTCAGTTCCTTCAAACTATATTAATTTTTTTTTATAGTTGTGTTAATTTTTAATATATTGGTGTATGTAATGGATATATTTTTTTCCGAGAATTTTATTGACTGCTTTTACTTTGTAGTTGTTATTTTTTACATTCTTAAGATCTGTGCATTTTTTTAAAAAACTTATCTGTCTTTTATTAAAAAACAATCAAAAAGAAATTCTCTTTTTTCTTAAAAGAATATATTTCTGTTGTAAATAATAAATAAAGTTAATAATTAAAGAAATTAAATCATAAATAATGAAGGTATAATTTAATAATTAAGATATTTAATAATTTATTTTAAGATCAGAATTTAATTTTGTGTCTTATAACTTGAAGAGTGTTGAAACTTGTGTTGAACAAGTGTAAATAAAATCATTTCTAAGTAGAACTAAGAGCAAGCACTATTAATAATGCTAAATTTTCTAGATTATAAATCCAATGTAAAAATACCTCATTATTGTTTCAGTATTTTGGATGCTAGTTTTTATGCTACTAAGACAGGCATTGTGCATAAAATAAAATAAAAGAATCAATGGAATAACATTTGATCTAATGATCAGAAAGTCGCATTCTATGATACAATCTTACTATGGGGGAGACAGAGTTCTCCCTAAGAATAAAAAAAGGTAGGGTGCTTCCTCGCTGAAAAGTGCACTTTCAGTTTTGAAAAGTCACTCACTTAGCATCGCAAAAATTTATCCAATTGTGTAATATCTAATACAGTGGAGCATCGTTTATACAACGGTCACTTATACGACGTTTACATTTATACGACGTTTTAGTGTGGTCCCAAATCATTCCTATTCATTTTAATGTAAAAATATATCGTTTATACGACGCACAGATCGGTTATACGTCGGTTTTTAGATTTTGTTCATGTTAATTTAGTTTCTTATTTTTTCCTGTGTATTTTAAAAAAGGGTGGAATTTGCCAACATGAATGATACAAAAAAGGGAGACAACAAGAATTCTTGGATGACGACCGTAATTTTTACTAGATGACTGAAAAAACTAGACAATATTATGAAGAGGCAAAAACGTAAAATTTTGCTATTTATCGACCAATGTCCAGCGTACCCATCGATACTAATTATTTTGGAAAATGTAAAAGCTCTCTTTTTTCCTGCAAATTGCACAAGTGCGCTTCAGCCATTAGATTTGGCCGTGATTAGAAA